CTAAACTACAGGCCTCTGAGTGTCGACAATGTGCGAATCTGGCCTTGTGAAATGTGCGGCACGGGCCAGCCACTGTTACTGGTGCTTGCGGAGTCTGAGATCTTCTTATGGCTGTTAATACTCAACGAGTCTGACGTCCATCGTGTGATGCCCTTGCTCCGCGTGTTATTCCTGTCCAGTCGATGTCTTCTAAAGCGAGTGTCGTTGCATGCGGGCGCGCGACAGTGTGGGTGAGTCGTACTGGGATGAAAGGCGATGGTTATAGCGAGGACACTCCTGCAGCTGCGGGATGGAGACAAGATCGCCAAGGAGCTAGCCCGACCCAGCGTCATAAGGTCATCTACGACGCAAGCAGCACTCGAAGTCTCCTAATTCATCATCACTCAACAGATCGATTGGTAGGCGCATTGCTGTTAATACATCATGGTGTGTTGATGATCTGCGCAAAGCAAGGAGGAGCCCTTCGTGATGTTGGTCAATCACGCTAGTCTGCTCTTGGTTTCCGCCCCAACCGTCTGCGGGTGCACTCTATTGGACTTGGATCGATGCAGGAACAGTGCGACGCGAGAAGATAATAGTATGGCTGGGGTAACCAAAACCTTGTATCTTGCTTCTTAACGATCTAGTCTTTGCTTGATCACCCGGATACTAAAATGCAGATCTCAGTATGAAAAGAGCCCCATGGACTTCAAGCAAGCACTACGCCGCATCCCAGAAACGTGAGAGCATGGGAGGGAAACAGAAGTGAAGATCAGATGAACAATCCAATGGCGAGCCGCATATGCGGAGACCAAACTTCCGGCGGTTATGCACAGTGGCTGCGCTCCCGTGAGAGGGTAAGTCGTGAAATTGAGCCCCTTGCAGAGCAACGAATACATCATAACACAGCAAGGATGAAGAATACACATTATTGCGACCACTTCCATCCTTTCCTCTCGTCATCCGCCTCTTCTTTTCTCGTCAAATCAAACCTAAACACCATCCGCGAACCCCCATGGCATCCACAAACCGAACCTGCTACAACCGCGACGGTAGTCCAATAACCGATATATCCTACCAACCCTGCCTCAGCGACCCTGACCGCGATTCGTTCTGCTGCGGCACCAACCATCAAGGCGCGGGCCAAACAAACGTCGCCGACGATGTATGTGAAAGCAACGGCCTATGTCAGAACTACGAAGCTTTCGATGGGACAAACGCGAACGTGAAGTTATGGTGGCGAAATGGGTGTACGGATCCGACGTGGCAGAGTGCGGAGTGCTTGGGGAGTGTTTGTAATAATAGTACAGTGAGTGGAGTAGTCTATGCTGGACCGTGGTTGATGGTGCTGATGGACTGTAGTGGCAGGACGAGAACGCGCCAGTGAGGAAGTGTGGGGAGAATAGTTGGTGCTGTGGGAATCCGAGCTGCTGTAGTGATGAAACGAAGCGGTTTACCCTGGCAGCGACCGTGGGCGAGACTGCATCTTCGACTTCGTCATCGATATTGACATCCGCAACATCTGCGCCAACATCAGACGCTTCAGCATCATCGAACGCGAGCACATCAACACCCGTCCCACACTCATCACCAAGCAACAGCGCAGATCCAGCCTCTTCAAGATCAGACAATTCGACCACGTCGCAAGCGCTCAGTGTTGGGGCGCGCGCAGGAATTGGCGTCGGTGCAGGATCGATAGCTATACTGATAGTACTGGTCACCCTATTAGCATGGAAGCTGAAGAGGAAAAGACGGCAGGAGCAGGCTGCTACTGTGGAGCTGCCACAAAGCACTATCGACGAGAAGAACCTAGAAGCGCAACATTATCCTTCGGTGGCGCCCAGCGAACTGTATGGTGGGAATGCAGCCGTAGAGATGGGATGTAGGGAGCCAGCAGAACTAGCAGGGACGCCAGGACGTCCGTATGGTCGCGATGATCTGAAGGTCGTTCTACAGCCCTGAGAGTGACATAGGGTCACAGTCGCGTCACTTGGTAGCTTGCGCACGGCTATCTCACGTCAGTCCAGGCATCAACAAGATCAGGGCGCAAATTGTCTAAATGAAACCAATGCATTTCGTTTACAAGCGCAGAATGAAATTGATGAGACCCTAAAATACACGCCTTCAAATGGATCGCAAGTGCACCTCGACCGATGCCATTATTTACCACCTCGCTTCCCAACTTCGAAGCCCTCATTGTCCGTCCGTTCGAATAATACATGGAGACGTGAGACATGCCGCGCATGTGGGTATTGCGCGTCATATGCGTAGATTGCTGAACGACTTTGCGTATCGATGCCGTTACTTGAGTGTTGCAGTTTTGTATTGTCGTATCTGCAATCGAACGTGCGTAATCGTCTAGCAGTGAGCGTCGCTAGCCTTGGAGTTCATGAGCAGGGCAACAATGAGTCCGTAAAGACCTGGCATATGTTAGTGCGAGCTTCTTGTTGAATTTCGAGCGACGTACCCAGAACTTCGGCGAAAATGAGAATCAAGATCATTCCGACGAACAACCTGGGCTGTTGGGCGGTTCCTCGTACACCGGCGTCACCGACGATACCGATGGCGAAACCAGCGGCCATACCGGACAGACCGACGGCGAGACCGGCACCGAGCTGGATGAAGTTGGCGAAGAGCGAAGACTCTTGCGAGAGACCGTTGGAAATCAGGACGGACACGACGAGACCGTAGATACCAATGATACCCGCCATGACAACGGGAATAATGTCTAAAGTGTGTTAGCTGCGTGCTCGACATTGCGACATCTGGCGAGCGGTTCATCACGTACTCTTGACGATCAGGTCAGGGCGGAGGACACCCATGGCTGACACACCAACACCGGCCTTCGCGGTTCCGTAGGCCGCGCCAAAGCAGGCGAAGACGATAGCTGACGTGCAGCCCATCGCGCCGAAGAAGGGCTAGTTGTTTATTAGCTATGACGATGGACGGGTCGACGCGGTGCTGTCGCGTCGGGAGGCGAAGCGGAGGTTGGTCCGAGGACTTACAGCATAGACGGGGCTGCATCCATTATGTTAGCTATTGTACGTATAAGGTGATGGCAAAGAAGCTCCTCCGATGCTCATGTAACAGTCGCATGCCCAGCTTATCTCCAGAGAGGCAAGCTGGAGCTACCTGCATGCTCAACAAGGGAGCTCCGTGTTCACTCACCAAAGTTCGGAGACCATCTTTGCGGTGATGTATGTATTCGACGAGACGTCTAGAAGGGTGTCGAGATCTTTATTGAGATGGACGGGAGTCGTGGATGCGGCGACGGGGGCGGTTGTGATGTCGAGGAGTGGTGACGATGGTTGGCGAAGAGCTGGACGTCGCTCGGTTTTGCCCTATACCTAGTTCGTCACTAGCGCCACACGTGAGGTGTGCCAAGTAATAATCCTAGCAGCTCTACGAACTTTTTGATTTTCCCAAGCTTCCAAATTACCACAACCTTCACCACAATTCAACCCGGGCGAGCAAGCAGTGTAAGTCGCATAGCTATCTCTCTCTCTGTCTCGAATTTGACACTCGTCGCCTACCGACACTGTTATCGTTCACACGAGTTTCGGTCGCATACCTACACTCTCGTCGCATACTAACACCCTATAGGAATCCTCCTTCGGACGAGCTTTAGCAGTGAACCCTACCATCCACCCCATCGCATCTCAACCTCCAACAAAATGGCCGAAGATAACAGCGCCGCCTGGCCCCAAGCCGACCAGGCTCTCTCCCAGGAGATCCTTGACCTCGTCCAACAGGCTACCCACTACCGTAAGTTGCTGTGCGAACTCCATGCGAGACAAATACTGATTTCGCACAGGCCAACTTAAGAAGGGCGCCAACGAGGCCACGAAGACCCTCAACCGTGGTATCAGCGAGTTGATCATCCTCGCGGCCGACACCTCCCCGCTCGCTATCCTCCTCCACTTGCCTCTTCTCTGCGAGGACAAGAACGTTCCCTACGTCTACGTCCCCTCCAAGATGGCTCTCGGTCGCGCCTGCGGTGTCGCCAGGCCCGTCATCGCGGCTAGCATCACGACCAACGAGGCTTCCGACCTCATGGGCCAGATCCGCACCCTCAAGGACAAGGTCGAGCGCCTCCAGATCTAGACTGATCTATGCGATCGCTACATGCGCAAGAGAGAATGCAAGAGTTGGAAACTGGTTTCGCAATACTGGAAGGTTTACGTAGCGACAAGATGGCAGGGGCCTGGGATGGAATACGCCCATGGTCTCTGTACGTAGACCGAGAATGAAATGCCGAGCGCAAGTCGGCATCGACTCTGCCAAATCTGAAATACTCATCTATATATTCCTTTATGCTATTGGAGTGCGCGATCTTCTCATTGATGCTACGTCTAGGTACCACTTCGAGCCACACTCATAGAGCGGACTTGATATACTGTCGTAGATGGTCTTCACAACAGAACGAAACCGGACCGTAGTGTTCGCGCGCACGATGCAAGCCCAAAAATTGCGCTTTTCCCAAGCCTTTATACGTCGCCTCACAACCATCAACCCCACACTCAATGATACTCAGCGCCGGTGAGCTCGTTGATGAGTCTGTGAGCGACCCTTGACTGCCACCTGCCTCTCCTCCTTCATCACTATTCTCCGGATCTTCGTTATCCTCTTGGTCTTCGCTGACGTGTGCAGGCACCGCAAACAGCGACAGTTCTTCCAGGTGTTTGCCCACGTGACGCCGCAACATCGTCAACGAAGAGACTTCAGCCAGACACAGCACACAGGTTGCCTTGGCAGTCATACTACGGTGCCTCTCACAGCTACGAACGAGTTGTCCAACACGATCTCCAGTTGCAAGCGACGGATGCTCATGCGCGATGTGTTCCCGGAGACTAGAAGAAGAATGGAACGGCTTATCGCAACCATCGACGCACTGCCACCATTTTCGATGCATCTGAGTTTCATGACGGAACCACTCGTGTCTTGATTCGTATGTCCGGTCGGGCATTTCACAATCTTCCACGGTGCATAACTGCGGGTTGTTAGTCGGTCACACTGGAACGTCATGAGCAACTCACATATGGTTGCAGGTCTCGGTAGACATGCTTCTGCCAGGCTTTGACATGTCGAACTGCAGTGTAGCGGAAGCATAGTTTGCATACGAAAGGCTCGCCGCCACGGCCTTCCATCGGCAAGGGCGGTGGACGTAACTTCTCCGGATCATGACCGGAGGATGCATAAGAAGTGACAGACTGCGTTTCATCGTATTCGTCTTCCTCTTCAAGATCGGCAATATTGACGCTAGCCTTCACAGCTGGTGGCAAGGAAGATGCTACTGTACTCTCCACTTCACGATGCGCTCCCATGTCTGGAAGCGTGCCTCTTCTTGTTAGGCCTTGCTTGTACTTCTTCGAGTGATCATCGCGGTAACGTAGGTATTGTCGGCGACGCGAGATGGCTTTGCCTAGCCGGGCCGTGAGATACTCTGGCGCCTTGGGAAATTTTCCACGGACATGAGCGATGTCGAACGGTTCGTAATAAGCCGTATCTATGTGCGCGGATTCTTTGAATTGATCATGCGGAGCTGGATTTCGAATGGCGACTGACAGCCGCATGAGGCAGGCATTCGTCTCTTTCAGTTCAGCTGCAAGTTGGGCAAGCTCCGTTGTATTCGGCTTTTGAAGGCCATTGGCACTATCTTCCTCCGTATCTGACTCCGAATCAGACATATCTTCCCAGGATGGTCGCTGGCCCGTCACTATCTCCAACACCTCGTTCAGGACAGCCTTCATACCCTGGACAAGCTGAATAACTTGGTCACGTATGTGAGATGCTTCACGAAGCTTGTAGCCGAGAGAGCCTCTTCCCGTACGATGCGCACCTACATTCGACGACCATAGCCTGAATCCACCAAAGATATCTTTCAGGGTAGCTAGCGGGAGCTTGGCCTTTATGCTTGATTGGGCGCTTGAAAGCTTGTTGCACACTGCTTGGAAGTCCCTTAGGCAGTAGTGGACATTGAGTGCTACCAAAGAAAGATCGTCGGGTTTCGTGACTTCCTCACGGGAAGATGCCGCTGCGACGAGCACTTCAGCTGCTTGGGTCGCCATGTTCGATGCTTCGACCTGATGCGATACTCCACGTATGCTCGATTGTCAAGGATAAGTCGAGGGCTATTCCAGGACATACAACCGGATGATCGTTCGGAAGTGTGTGGAGTTGCTACCAGCCAACTGTGATCGTCGAAGGTCTCTGTGGGGTGTGGTCCCTGTGGGTGACGTTCCGCGGATGTTTCGCGGTACTCGAAAGATCAAAAGTCAGGCATCAGAGCGGTCCTGAATAGATTTGATATAACGCGAAGAGGAAAATCATGAGAGAGTCGATAGTTTCCGTTGAGAAGCGTCCAGCCTGAGAGCTTCCGGATAATGTTGCTGCACGACGAACGTGGAAGTGGGGGCCACGTTTGCGGGCACCCATGTGCAGCGCAGACTTGGACCGGCACAGCTGACCTCCACTGTAAATGACAACATCGATCTGGATCAGCAAGAAACAGTTGAGCAGCTTCACAAATCCTTTCGCTTCTGTTGGACTTATCGCGCGAGTTGCTTGCTCACCACAATGTCGGGCCTCGAGGTCGCTGGCATTGTGCTTGGAGCGTTGCCGCTTATCATCTCAGCCTTGGAGCACTATGCGCAGGGTGTCAACACAGCCAAACGATTCTGGCACTTCAAATCCGAAGTGAGATTCCTGTTACTTCGAATCAACTCGGAGAAGGCCACATTTGTCAACACCCTTGAGCATCTCCTTACAGGAATCGTCAGGATTGATAGAATGGCAGGAATGTTGGCGAATGTAGGCGGTGAAGAGTGGCAAGACGAGTCCATCGAACAGTGTTTGAAAGATAGGTTACGCGGCGCGTATGAGGTGTACTTGGCCAATGTGCAGGGAATGGCAGGAGCGCTACAAAAGATTATGGACAAACTAGCGCTGGCACCTGACGGCAAGGTAAGTCATTATTCCTCTTTTCTCATACCTAGTGCGGCGACTATGGCATTGCGTTCTTGTCGACGCACAGACTACAAAGCAAATGCGTCCGAACCGACTTGATCCACTTCTTCGCCGTTTGTTTACTGGCCCAGTCGTCAGTCCGCCTCAGCAATGTGCTATTCACGAAGAACACGAACTGACTTGGATTAGCCTCCTTTCTCAGACCTCAAGCTGTTCAAGAAAGAGTTCAACAGACTGAAGTTTGGGCTCAGCAAATCGGAATACACAGAACAACTCAACGATCTGACAACGCACAACCAGTATCTGTCCAGCCTCACCAAGCAGTCTCTCGAACTGGAACCGTCGCGCACAAAATCCAAATCAAACCAGTGTCCCAACTTTCGTGTCTTACAAGAGTATGCACGCTCCTTGTACGAAACTCTAAAGTCGGGTCTGCGATGCGGTTGCAGCGGTCATGCAGTCAAATTGCGATTGGAAAGTCGAAATCAGAAACTGCAGCAAGGATATGATGCGCTGGATCATACGCCATTTCGTGTGGTATTCACAAACGAAACTGTGACGGCGTCACCGCAACCGATATCATGCAACTATTGGAAATGGACTGAAGCGGACATCCGGTACATCGCCGACCAGCCCGACAAAAAGCCACCCCCGCCATGCATGCATAGAGCTCTCACTTCGCCCAAGCTCCCGAAAACGGTCAGATTCATGCAGACTGAGTCTCGATCGAGCAGCAGCAGCACCATCACGCTTGTCGAAAACTCAAGTACATCTGGTATGAGTTCCACACCAACGCATATAGAAGACTTGTGTAAAGCAGTCGGAGCGCTTGGCAATGCAAAACACGACCTATGTATTGGCTACTTGATCGACGATGACAAGCGAAAACACGGAATCTATCCACTGGAGGCGTCGAGCGGCTCTGATCAGCAAAAATGGGTAGCGTACTCATTGCGGCAAGTGCTTACCAAGCACACAAATATCGGGCGGCCACTGAGACTCCAGGATAAGCTTCGAATTGCAGTAGACTTGGCGTCGAGTGTACTCCAACTCTACAGGACACCGTGGCTGGATGAGCACTGGAGTGACAACGACGTATATTTTATTCATCGTCCAGGTGTACCATTGTCTGCACTCTACGATCATCCGTTCGTTTATCGCAATTTGTCATCGGCATGCACGATCCAGCCACATGACACCCAAAGAGCAGTCGCAAAAGTCATACGAAACCAGACACTTTACACGCTCGGTCTAGTGCTCATCGAGCTTATCTATGGCAACCCAATCGAAGAGCTGCAAATTCCCCAAGACCAAGATTGCGCAGGTACGCCAGGTGTCACGTGGTGCACGGCTGAAAGACTACTTGATGAAGATATCGAGTTCAATGCTCCCACACATTACGTGGAAGCGGTCAGGCGATGTATTCGATGCGATTTCAATCGAAAAGAATCCAGTCTTGACGATGAGGCTTTCCAACAGGCAGTCTTTGAAGGGGTGGTGGCGCCCCTGGAGAAGACACTTCAGCATTTTCTGCGTGGCGATTGATGAGATCTACCTAGCCTTTAGGGGTTCTCAGAATATGCAAACCCAGCGCGGGCAGGAGACTGATCATTGAACCATGCCACGTGACGTTCGTACTTCTCACTCTGGAGAAACAACGAGAGCGGACAAAAGGAGAAAAAGAAGGTCGGGTGGTTCTGGTCAGGCTAGATGGCTGAATTGATGCACAAGACTGCGGAGAAGTATTGGCACGACATGGTTTCTCTCGCATTTCTCCGGAGTGGCTCTTGAATAGGCGTTCAGGTCGGGCTAGATCGCTCAAATGACGCAAAGAGCTGCGGAGTAATATGGGCATGGTATGATTTTGAACACATTAGTTCTTGGAAAGACGTGCTGGTCAAACATCTCGGTACCACCTACCCCGCTCAACACCACCGTCTCCATCTTTTCCCAGGGGTAGCGTGTTCCCCGTGGGGATCTTCCCCAGATTCCATGTCACCTAATTCGACTTTCGTAGTCACGATTTCACATGTCGTTGCCCATGCTGTCAACCGATTGGTGGCGGACATAAGCTCTGGCTAGTATCTTGGTATTTCCGACGTTCTCGCCGGAATTCATGGATGTTTCCAAGGCTCGAACAGGCCAGACCCACTCATGGCCTTCATTTCAGAGAGGAACGCAGTCGAGAGTGGAGCTTTCGTGGTTCCTGACAATCAAAATAAGCTTTCGCATTCGTCTACAGGTCCCGACGCAGCGGGCGCTAAATTCGACACCGAGGCTCCGAGCTTGCGTATGAATGGCCGTACCTGTCCGATGGTAGAACTTGGCCGTCACGACCAATCGGCATGCCTTTAGTCGGGCTCGTAAATAGAAGGCAACCAATCGGCCAGTCGTTAGTCGACCATGCTCTTGTAGCTTTCGAGATGCTCATGTGACGACATGAACGGAATTTGACACCTAAGGCCAGAGGTTGTTGTTTAGGTGTTTGAACAGGAAGGGGAGAGATGGACATATAAGGGGAATGCTCTTGCGCACATTAAGACATCGCTATCATCACATTCTCTCACGCATCGCATCCCATTCACTCCAACATGAGGACTTCTGCCATCAAGGCCGCGCTTTTTGCGCTCGTCGGACTCACTGCTGCCGCTCCCAGACCTGGTCTACTTGGTTCACTCCTTGGAGCTGGAGGTAGCGCTCCCATCCCTCCCTCTGATGATCCATTCTATACACCGCCTGCTGGCTTCGAGTCTGCAAAACCTGGTGCTATCTTGAGAAGCCGACCAGTACCCAGCGCCCTCTCGCTGTTTCAAACCATTCCTCTCAACCTGAAGGGTGCCTGGCAACTGCTCTACAGGACCACTGACTCGCTCGGAAACCCGGTGGCCACAGTCACTACGGTGATGGTGCCAAAGAACGCGGATTCAAAGAAGCTGCTCTCTTACCAGGTCGCTGAAGACAGCGGTGGTGAGATCAACTGCGCACCATCTTACACGCTCCAAACAAAGTCCAATACCACATATGCCGGAACAGGAGGTATTGAAGCCGCCCTCATTGCTGCCTCGCTCAACCAGGGCTGGATCGTCAACTCGCCGGATTGGGAGGGACCCGAGTCCACTTTCGTCGCTGGATTCCAAGCAGGCTACGCTACTCTTGATGGTATTCGTGCGGCGCTCGCTTCCGGCGCCACCACCGGCGTCGACTCTTCTGCAAAGGTCCAGATGTGGGGATATAGTGGAGGCGCTTTGGCTTCCGAATGGGCTGCCGAACTCCAAGCCAACTACGCCCCAGAGATCCCCTTTGTTGGCATGGCCATCGGCGGTGTAACTCCCAATGTCGAAAATGTGTTCAACACCATCAACAAGGGACTCTTCGCTGGTCTCAGTGCTGCCGGCTTCTTGGGCTTGGGAAACGCGTATCCTGATTTCGGAAAGTATGTCCAAGACAGCCTCAAGCCAGAGAAGGCTGATGCTTTCAACCAAGCTGGTCGCCAGTGCTTCTACGCCGACGTGAAGACGTACGCGGGACAGGATATCTTCACGTACTTCAAGCAAGGACAGGCGATCTTCAATGGTATGTACCCCCCGTGAGAAACATTAATCCTGACGATGACACTGACTTACAAATCTTCACAGACCCTATCGCGGAAAACACCATCAGGACCGGAGCGACCATGGGTCTTCACGGCACTCCATCCATGCCGATCTTCGTATACAAGGCCGTGAAGGATGAGATCTCGCCCATCGCCGACACTGATGCGCTCGTGGACCAGTTCTGCAAGGCGGGCGTTTCCATCACATACGTCCGAGACTCTTTCGGCGAGCACTTCACCCAGGCGGCGACCAGCACCGGCGATGTTCTCAACTACCTCACCGACAGGTTCAACGGTGTTCCCATCTCGGGCTGCAGCATCCGCAACGAGTTCTTGGATCTTCTGGATGCTGGCTCGCCTGGAAAGCTTGGTATTTCGCTTGTCATGGTTCTTCTGAACGCTTTGGGTGTTCCGCTTGGTCCTAACCACTTCTAGTGGTAGGCTATGAGCTGTATGAGGATGACAGTAGGTGTATATAGCTATGGTATTCTCTGTAGCTAGCGGTAAGACTCGTTTGTATAACTACTCGCTAGTTTCTCGCAGCTTAGCAGCTGCAGAGCTTTCACCAATGTGAAGAAAGAGATTCGCCAGAAACACCCAATTACAATGAACTCATGTCAGTGAGCTGTTAGGCTAATTGTGGAGAGTATTGAAAGGATTAAGGGTCTCTTGTTGGTACGCAGCTGTTCAAAGTATGGAGTGCGCCACCGACCAAATGTTGACTTCCGGTGATGAGAGTCTGCGTACTACCGGCTTCCGCTCCCATCTTTCTAGCAGTATCCAAGGCTGTATGCACATTTGGTACGTAGTGAATATGGGAATCTGAATGGATGCTTTTCCAGATCTCGCCAAACGCCTGTTGCAAAGCATCTTCCGACTCATCAACCACAGCTGTGTCGCAGTTAGCGGGCGAGCTTTATAAGCACAAAGAGGAATTTACCTGCTGGAGAGTCCAAGTCCTGCTGTGGATCGTAAAGAGTGAAGATGACATGATCGATGTGAATAGGGCTGAGGGCAGCGGCCAGTCGTTCGAGGACTAGTTTCGCATCTCTTTGTTTCGATATTTGGCTGAAGACCAAGATGCGTACGGGAGATGCACTAATAGCGTCAGTGATTAGCGGGGATATGTGGCCCGGCTGGTCACGCACTTCTCTCCCTGGGAGTTCTCGATGAACCATTCCGCTGCTTTGCTAACGCTCATCTCGTTGTGCGCACCGTCCAGATACCAGCTTAATACCCCATCGACAATGATTTGAAAGCGCCCAGGCCATGAGAATTGGCTTATAGCCTGCGAAACATCCACATCTGATAATAACGGAAGGTCTTTGGGAGCTCTATATCCGAGAACACAGCGTACAGCAGCAAGCGCAATCGAACAATTTGTACGCTGAACATCTGGCTTCAGCTGCGGCACATGTACTGGAAGCTCCGGATCATTTCCGATAAACTGGATGTTGATGCCTTTCTCCGATGCGCGATTCCGGAGAATATCAGCAGCGTAGGGTTCCTGGGGGGACGAGAAAGCATAGGCCCCGCGCTTGAAGATTCCTGATTTATGCCAGGCGATGTCTTTGATAGTGGGTCCTAATTGCTGGACGTGGTCCATACCAAGGACGGTTATCACGGTTGCGACAGGATGCTCTATCACGTTAGTAGCATCATACTCCCCTCCATGGTGAGTCTCGAATACTGCTGCCTTTACGCCTTCTTCGATGAACGCGTGGAACGATACTAAAGCGAGGAGCTGGAGATAGCGAGGTAATCTCTCGGGGTCTTTAGACAGAATACCCCACACTTCAAAGAAGTACATTGCGAAGAGGTCTCTCTTGATGGGTTTGAAGTTGATACGAATCCTCTCCTCAGGGTAAATGAGATGTGGTGAAGTGTATAGACCTGTCTTGACTGGCCATCCGGTTCTTTCTCCGTAAGCCCGGAGAAAGGACTCGATGAATGCGCATGTGCTGCCTTTGCCCTTGGTGCCGGCGACGTGAATGATGTTAAGTTTGTCAATTTCGGCAGTCTATTTTGTCAGTACAGCTTCAGAGACGGCTCATGAGGCCTACCGAGTGACCGATCTGCTGTAGCCATTGCTTCATTCCGACTATACTCGGTGTACCCTTCAGCTCAGATTTTCCTTTCCCACCAGTGACACGGCCAGTATTTGGTGGTTCATTTGCAGCACTGACAGTCGGTCTCGCTGGGCGTCGTCGGCTGTGAAGGATGGCGATTGCGTGCTGAACTGCATTAGCACGTCGGGCGATAGTTATGCCACTGAATTCCACCTTGTAACTTCTGTCAACAGGACGCGAAAGCATGACTTCGTTCATTGTCGGACTTCTTTAGGGGTACGTTAACCTTTCGCGATGAGGATGATCGTGATAGGCTTTATAGTATCGTGTTCGCAACGGTGAGCGAGTCGACTCCACGTTCGCCTCCTGATTTCCTCCCTTGAAGCGACAGTTTGGCATCGTTTGTGTCGTTAAATTGAGGAAGTCACGGGTGACTCCTCATCGTTTGGGCCGTCCTACGAGCCATCGTCACAAATTGCTCCCTCGGCGATCTGAGCGCATCTCCGTACAACCACAGCACGGCCCGCAACAACTTCTTCAAATTCCAGCTGCCTACTGACGAAGGATTCAACATCGCCATCAACCTGTACAAGCCCGAGGCTCATACGATCGGAAATGGCTGCAGCATCTCTTTTGCATGCACATTCGGCAATACAGACAACGTGCAGCCTTTCTCATCTGTCGTCACGGGTGCGTTAACCAAGGCCGTGGAGCAATACAAGACAACCAAGACGGGACCCTATCATGGAGGCAACTGAGGTCAAATGGATGAAGGTTGCGTTTTACAAGACTACGAGTTGAAGTATCTTGTCTACACTTGTCTCCAGACGAGCAAGATATTGCTGACGGTCGAACCGGAAGGACACCCCGAGCTCGCTGCGATT